CGGTTGGGTTACTACCCAGAAGGTTGGGTTAAACATTTAACCCAACCGCTGGGTCAAAACAGCCCAATTGCTGGGTTTGTCCCTATTTTACCCAGCACTGGGTTGTATTTAACCCAGCATTTTTTAGAGTGTACAGTAAGCTGTTGTGTGAATCCGGTTTAAGAGTCACACCTGTTATGGAAAGGTGAAAGCTGACTGTTGCCCAAATCTCCTCTTTTCACAGGGATAAAGATGCTGAAAAAACAGACAGACCCTTCTTCACTTTTCCAGGAGGAAGAAGAGAACAGCGGGGAATGGCAAGACAGTCAGACGGAGTAACACTGGTTGAATTTCATGAGGAAGTGATGTCATTTATAATATTGTTTGGGAACTGTTTTTTAGTTTAACCCTTTTTCCCCCAGTGGTAAAATAGTTTGAAAGTAAATTTCACAGCCATTTTATACATTTATGCAATTTCATTCCAAAATACTAAGAGGTCCAAATGTTGATACTATAAACTATTATTTATAAAGCATATATATATATATATATATATATATATATATATGCACAATAGAGGCTCTTTTAGTAGTGCTCTCAAACTTTTTTTTTTATCCCTGCCGTACATTCTCTGGTATTATGATTTATTTAATAATATATTAACTTTCATGTAGTTGTAATTCATCATGAGTTGTAATATGAAAGTGTAAGGAAACTCATGCGCCGCAGATGATTTAGCAATACATGGGGAGGATTGTCAAGCCAATCACATCCTGCCACGTTTTTTTTTTTTGATCACCTCATGTGGAAAGTGCTTGAGGCTTTGATGAAACTTTCTCACACACACACACACACACACACACACACACACATTTTTTTCCCAAAAAATAATCAACCTTCATCAATGTGTTATAATACTGCCAAAAATAGTTTTTTATAAGATGACAGAGCAAATTTAGTAAATGTAAATGCTTTTGAACATATGACTGCTCTTTAACAGCACCCTATTAATATTTTTCTGAAACAATAAATCTGTAGTAAATTTGATGAACAAGCATTTCCAGCAAATATACTGTATGAACTACAAAATGTACATCTGTCTTATTGTTGACGTCAATAGCACATTTGATATAGATTATAAAGTCTAAAGAGAATCTCATAAATGTCTAGGTACATTTCACCCCATCCTGAATTGTTTTTTTTTTTGCATGATAACATTTTCATTGCAATTGAAACTCCTCTACAATTCTCAATAATGAAAAAAATAAAAATAAATTAATAAAAATAAATAAATAAATGGCCCCAAAAATCTTTTATGCAACAATTTTTTTTTGGGGGATGACATGAAACTGTACGAAACATTTGTAAAGTATCATTCTAAGTTTAAATTTTAATCTAACCCTATATACCTTATATATAATTGTATCCAGAAAATGTCATATATATACACACACACACACACAAACACATTTTTTTCCCAAAAAATAATCAACCTTCATCAATGTGTTATAATACTGCCAAAAATAGGTTTTTATAAGATGACAGAGCAAATTTAGTAAATGTAAATGCTTTTGAACATATGACTGCTCTTTAACAGCACCCTATTAATATTTTTCTGAAACAATAAATCTGTAGTAAATTTGATGAACAAGCATTTCCAGCAAATATACTGTATGAACTACAAAATGTACATCTGTCTTATTGTTGACGTCAATAGCACATTTGATATAGATTATAAAGTCTAAAGAGAATCTCATAAATGCTTTGATGAAACTTTCTCTGACAGAAGCAATATTTTTGTAGGTATATGGCTGTTTTTTATGCAGACATGACTCTGAAGTCCCACACAGCTGTTGTACAGCCCAACAGCTCTTTGACATGAGTGTCTGAAACGTGGGCATTATACATGGAGTTAAAGCTTGATACTGTACATGCTAACATGGTTAGAGTATTTTAGATCTTCTGCAACACACACACACACACACAAACACATTTTTTTCCCAAAAAATAATCAACCTTCATCAATGTGTTATAATACTGCCAAAAATAGGTTTTTATAAGATGACAGAGCAAATTTAGTAAATGTAAATGCTTTTGAACATATGACTGCTCTTTAACAGCACCCTATTAATATTTTTCTGAAACAATAAATCTGTAGTAAATTTGATGAACAAGCATTTCCAGCAAATATACTGTATGAACTACAAAATGTACATCTGTCTTATTGTTGACGTCAATAGCACATTTGATATAGATTATAAAGTCTAAAGAGAATCTCATAAATGTCTAGGTACATTTCACCCCATCCTGAATTGTTTTTTTTTTTGCATGATAACATTTTCATTGCAATTGAAACTCCTCTACAATTCTCAATAATGAAAAAAATAAAAATAAATTAATAAAAATAAATAAATAAATGGCCCCAAAAATCTTTTATGCAACAATTTTTTTTTGGGGGATGACATGAAACTGTACGAAACATTTGTAAAGTATCATTCTAAGTTTAAATTTTAATCTAACCCTATATACCTTATATATAATTGTATCCAGAAAATGTGATTTTTTATTTTTATTTTTTGGCATCATCATATGACTTTGTGGACAAATGTGCTTAATTGTAATGAAAATAATATCAATGCAAAAAAAAATATGTAAATGGTTCTTGAAGCAAGAATTTTTCCTTCATTAGATTCATCTTTACTAAACGATTCTTTATCTAAATTTCAACAAAGTCATTGAGGAGCTGATTTCAACAGATATTCTACAGGTGTTCTGTCATCCCTGACTGATAAATGAGATGCAGTATTCTGTTTTTTTTTCTGTTTAATAAACTTACTTTCTACAATTAAACAGACCCTGAGCTCGAATGTGCTTTCAAAATGTGTGAAGGTGAAGACAGCGGATGTCACATCAGCCACTGCAGACCTTAAAAGAGATACAAATGACAAAAATCTTGTTTTTGGCAGTTTATGTCATATATAATGCAAAAAAAAAAAAAAAACTATTGATCAGTATTTTCACATAAACATTATAAAACATGATACAGTTATTTGGTAGCATATGTTTAGTACCTCATGATTGTTCTGAGATTCTGAAAAACAGTGTAATGCACAATGGCTGTGTTCAGAAAAGCATACTATTACTGTTTCTGTAGTACAGAGTACAGTATATATACAGGGCACAGTGTATATCTACTCCATTTGCCAAATTGCTTGATTTGGCCCCTTCATTTCCAGTGTATCATGACGAACGAATGCAATATTAGCGATTTCTAACATTGGACTAAGACTTTTTAACACAAAACAGCATGTTCCTTTAAATTTAAATGTTTATTGTTACAAAATATTCTGTTTCACTATTTTAAACAGTACATACTGCACAGTATTTGGTGAGTATTAAGCTAGTATTCCATTCTAAACACAGCCAATGTATATATCATTTATTTAGACACTGCTATGTGCTATAATACTGTATGGATTTAAAGGGACACAATTGTGTACATTTGGAGAATTGGTTTGTTAAAATGAAATAATGCCCCCTTGAGGACATGTACCTCTACCGTTAAAAAATTGGCTCATGATTTAATAGGCAGCATGTTCTACAAAAATTTTACAGCTGCATACTATACGCGTCATGCTACAATAAAAAAAAGCTCTTTATGGATTGTTCTGGAAATTGAAATACTCCAGTCATTCTGACCTAATGTGCCGCAAAGAGCCGGTAAGCGTGACTGTATAGCGAGAATAAAATACTGAAACTAACTGTGGTGCAAAGTGTAGCTGTGTAATCTTTAATAAATAATGACAGTCTACAAACAAACAAAAAAAAAACGAGAGAAAAGAAAAACAATTTACAAAAAAAAACAAAACACGAATCGAACCAACAGGAATAAAGCTCGGGAAGCAAATAGGTAGCGTTACGTTTCAGGGACTCGCTAAATCCTCCTCAAGGGGATGATAGAGGTCTGTCTCCAGCAATAACACAGTCGCCATGACAACACTGCACACTACCGTCTCACTCTGTGGACATTCCGCGCATCTGTCTGCACAATTAGCCCTCCGAGCCCGAGAGTATAATAGCATTACAATACAATGAGGACAATGCTATGTACATCATCCTGTTTCTGATTAAAAACATTCAGGCTTGGCACCATCCGTGTGACGTCAGGCGCTTTTGCCGTTCCAAGGCAGAGTTTCTGAGCTGTGTTCCTCTGGTGAACCGTCGCCCGGTCCCTCTGTAGGGGACTGGGAACTCTGGTCCAGAGAGTCCTGGGAAGAGTGAGTGGAGTCCGTATTGTTCAGTTCGTTAAGGGACTTTGACTCGGAGTCGTGACTCCCTCTGGCTGGACTGCTGTGGGACAGTGTGACTTGTGTGTTTGTCATGGGCTCCTCTTCCAGGTCTGACATTCTCTCATGCTGTTTATTGGCTAACTCTGGGAGGAGACAGGAAGTGAGATCAGCTATAGGA